GCTCCTCAGTAAACCAAGGAGCTGCGTGGGATCGGCACCGGGTCAGAGGCCGCAAAGGCACGACTCGGTCCAAGGCCCCACCAGCCGTCCAATCCCAGGCGGCTACCAGGTCCTCAGCCGAGTCATGTGCTAGATCCTCAGGAAATGGCCCAAGCTCCATCTGGAACCTATCAGGATCCATCAGGCGCCTGGGACGGACCCATCTTATTGGCTCCGCCTCCCTGCAGCGGGGTGTAGCGGTTCGAAGGTCCAGGCGAAGGAGCGAGTGATCTGACCATGACAAGGGTTCCATGTCTATATCCCCTATAATAAGATCACTCAACCACTGGCCAGAGACAAAAATCAAGTCCAGAGTGTGTCCCCCCCTGTGGGTGGGGCCATGAACTAGTTGGGTCAGGTCCATGGCCGTCATGGAAGCCATGAACTCCCGAGCCGTCTCAGACATTTCACCAATGGACGGCAAGTTGAAATCACCCATGACCATAAGCCTGGGTGTATCAACTGCCACCATGGCTATCACGTCGAGGAGCTCGGGCAGGGCCGTTGCCGCGCGGCAGGGAGCCAGGTACGCAAGCAACAAGCCCATCTGAACCCCATGACCCCATCTCACAAAGAGGGATTCACATCCGGCAATCTGTGGCACAGTGGTCTCCCTCGGACTAAGACCTTCGTTAATAATAACCGCCACCCCCCTCCCCTCCCCTGGGCCCTCGGCTGATGGAATGCTCTGAAGCCTTTTGATTGTGCTTTGTTTCCTTGGCTTAGTACTTTGTGTGAACCCACCTTCAGGTGAATAAATATCAGCATACTATATAAACAGGAAAAATGGGTTGATTTATTAATCAGATTAAGAGTGTTGAGTGAGGACAATCAATAACTGTTGATATTTGAACCTTTTCTGGTTATAGTCCACTCAATCCAGAGCAGTAACTCTGACTCTCCTCCAAGACGGTCAGTGCTGGGAGTGACACCCTACCTAGAATGGCTCTTACCTTGCTGACCTCTGCTCTAAAAAGCCCTTGGTGCTTTGTGACATTCTCAAGGAGGCAAGAGGCTTGGACAAGCAAGCTTTGAGTGCCATACTTAAGCCTGGGGGAGCCTGTATCTTTTCAGATCTTGGATCACATTTCCCATCCATGGGATTTGGAATCCAATATTGGTTCCCTCTTTATTTTTTAGATCAGGAGTTTCTAATTTTTCCAAGCTATGGAATGTTTTAAAAAATATCCAAGAATCCCTGATTGAGGAGCAAGATTTATGAGTGTCAGCTGATAAGTTAACATACTGTACTTTCATCAGTGACATCAGTGACAATAGGGGGGAAAACAAGTTTTTTTAGACTGAGTCCCTTGCAGAACTTTTTCCCCTTTGTTGTCACGGAATCTAATTCAACTCTTCAAGGCGGACTGAACTAGGAGACCAAAGTTGTGAATGTTAATACTATTTTTATTATACAGTTACAGTAATGGAATCTTGCAAGTCTGAATGTATTAGGGTTAGTTTTAAAATTTTGATATTGATTTTAAATTGACAAGTTTTAAATTACGGGCCAAATTTATAAATTATTTTAACTCTATTTTTAACTGTAATGTTATGTATAGATGTTTTTATTTTGGCTGTTCACTGCCCTGAGTCCGAAAGGAGAAGGGCGGTATAGAAATTTGAATAATAAATAAATAAATCCCCCCCCTTCCTTCAAGAGTAATATAAGGGTCTTATCTGAGACATTTTCTCAAAGTACATTTCAGTCCTGGGCTCAAATATCTTTTGTCTGATTGTTGCCTTAGTAGTAACTCTTCCTCCTGTTCTTTGAGGTTACTTTTGCAGCCCATTACATCTCTTCAAGTCCTTGCAGAGTCCTAGACTTCCGCAGAACCATTTGATAAATATTTAGATGACAGAGCCCCACTGATGTGTTCTATTATAAAATTATCTTATTTTATACATTTTTCAGACCATAAGATGGACCGGTGTATAAGACTCATCAAGAGGAAAGCAAGGGGGAAAAAAGTTTTTGGCCTCTCCGGTCCTCAGGAGCACTCTACAGGCCTCCCAAACCTTCTGTGCACCCCATTTTTGTGAAAAATGGGCCCGTTTTTTGCAAAAATGGGACATATGGGGCAGGGCTTTGGGAGGCCAAAAATGGCTGTATTCTGTGTATAAGGTGCACCAACATTTCCACCCTCTTTGGGGGGGTGGCGGGGAGTGAGTTTTATACTCCAAAAAGTACAGTAACAACAAAAAGCCACTATATTATATATAAAAACAAATACTCCAGATGAGAAGTTCTCTATCTAATAATTAAATCGATCCAACATCTAATCATAATATACACTAAAAAATGGGGGAAAAAACAGTCAACCTGTTAACCCAAACTACTCTTCAAATCCTTCTGTTAAATATCTGTTATTGTATTTAACATGTAGAAAGTCCACAAATGGCTTCCAGACTCTTATAAAGCTGTCTAATCCATTATCTCTATAATCCATTATATCTAAACAAAGCAGTTAGTTTTGCCATCTCTGCTAATTCAGTCAAAATCCATTCTTCAACAGTGGGCATCTCTTTTCCTTTCCAGTCCTTAGTGTGTACAATCCTCAGAGTGGTTATTTTCATTCACATTTCATCCAATGCTTTGCCTGCAAATTCTGCTTCCCTATTGTAGCTCAATATTTTACCGTTGAGGAGTTGGAAAAAGGGTTGGAACATAATGATCATAGGAAGAAAAGAGGAAGATGCAGAGTTAGCAAAAAGAGTGGGAAACCTTTTAAAAAACTTCCAAAAGTAATTTAAAATCAGAGGGGAAGGGGAGTAATGGAATAATGGAGGCTTTGGCTGATAGTAAAAATGCTAGAAGAGCTAACACAACTTGTGGCTATTGAAGATAAACCACAGTCTGTTGTTTTCTTTTTGGAAGAAGGCTGGCTGGCAAACTCAGATGGATTGAGCAGTTTCTACTAATGAGAATTTATGGGTGCTGGATGAGATCAGGGCAATCATGGGGAAGAAATGTGCTGAAAGGTAAGGGCATTATGGGAATCCTACATTGGCATCAGGGCTTGGCTGGGATTGCAGAACAGCAGAAGAAACATGATCAAAAGTTTCTCTGCCAAAGGTTTCTCTATCAGTCAGTCACCTGTTATCTCTTCAGCCTAGGAATGGAAAATAAAATACCAACTAATTTCATAATTCTTTTCCATAGATCTAGAATGGTGAATACGATAGAACTAATCATTAGGGACTTTGAGGGAGGTGTATAAATGTTAGGATACACCTTTATTAGGTTTACATCATATGGTATTAAGAGATGCTTACTTACAATGTTTTTGAGAATAAATACAAGTCTGGGAAAAAATGTTTAAATGCATGCAGATAGTCCTTGCTTAGCTACAATAATTGGGACCAGAGTTTTCATTGTTAAATGATGTGGCTGTAAAGCACAGTGTCACATCACCATGCTGCTTAGCAACAGCAGTTCTGGCAGTCTCCAGCTACCATTGTTAAATGAGATCCCCACATGATCATGGCTTCTGACTTCCTACTGGCTTCCCCATTGACTTTGTTTGTGGGAAACCAGCAGCAGATCATGTCACCATGGGACACTGTGACAATTGGAAATACTGGCCAGTTGCTGACTGTCTGGATGGCAATCACATGATCATGGGAGCACTGGAATAGCAGGAACTTCAAGAACTGGTCATAACTACCAGTCATTCAGCACTGCATGGAGTTTGAATGTTGCTGATTAAATGAGGACCATGTGTAAAACTATGCGCGGCTGACTTAGAAAAGAATGCAAAAGAATTAGTAAGATTTGTAACTTGCAATGTACATACATTGCTGATTTCAAATTTCACTAATTAATTGTTTTGCGTTTTTTTCTAGGCCTGCAATTCAAAAGCATGTCATACCTCAATCAGATCCTAAAAACTGTGTATGTGTATATCTCTTGTTGACATAGAATATATAGGACCTGGCTGCTGCTAGAAGCCCATCACTGATACCTATCCTTTTACAGGTTAATCCGTGTTTAACAACTGCTTTATTTAGCAACTGCTCACAGTTGTAACGGTGATGAAAAAGTAATTTTCTGACTAATCCCTTGCATTTATGACTTTCACAGGTCTATAAAGCAAAGGAAAGCTGATGTAAGATCATAAGCAGAGTCACACTCACACTTATTGACCAAGTTGCCAGTCCCAATTGTGATTGCTAAACAAGAATTATCTGTAGTTTTCATTCGGCACTATGTGGAAGTTGTCATAACAACTAGAGCCAGACACTGGGACTTGTTCAGATACTATTGCTATACCTGTCTTATTCTGGAGCGCCTTCTAAGGGTGTCTTCCCTCTTGAGGAGCTTGTTGACTGAAAATATTGGTCTTGTGACATTCAGTACCTTCCACAAGGATGGTACACCTAGCAGAGGAGAATTGGAAGAAAGCTATTTTGATTCTTGCAGATTGTTGACCTGTGTCTGGTTCCTCATCCATATAAACCAGAATGTTTACATAATAGACTTTGTTCTATTTTCAAATGGAGGCCACCATTTCCCTGCTGGACTGTATATTGTTTTCAATGTCAGTAACAAGCTGGAAGACATGCCTTCTGTGACCAATATGCAAAAAAACATCCTTGTGGGAGACTCATCTTGAAATGAGAGTTCTATGGGAGCTTAGAATGCTTTGTTTATTATGAGTCTGGCTCCAGTTCTCTACCCCTGGAGGGAAAATTTGCAGTGTGTATGTGTATTGCTTCCATATGTTAGGTATCTGTCAGTTAAAAAATTGTGTTAAAAAAAAAAAACCTAGAGGATTCATAATGTGTGTAATCTGAAGCCCTTATAAAGATCCTGTAACAGGCTAATTGCTCAGTAAAAGACTTCATGAAAACACCCAGAGATTAAATACTCAGAAGTCCAACCTCTCTGGGCGTTTCCGTATCCTGACACTCTAGTTGGTTGGTAAACAATGGGTTGGGCTCATTGAAATAACAGAATGCAAAGAATTTCGTAGTGCTGAACTCTCCTGAGGCAATACTAATGAGAAGAGAGCAGAGGTTTCTGGAAGGAGATAAAAGGGCTGCGCAGCAAACGGTGCCTACAGTCAAGAAGGAGCGAGGGCAGCTTTCCTCGGAGAGAATAACTTCAGAAAACTTAGAGAAGGACTGCACAACTTTCAATCCTGAAAAGGCATCATGGCTGAAAACCAGAACTACAATGATCTTTTACACAAGAATTCATATGTCTTTTATAGGTATCCGCTGACGCTGGTCCGTGGAATCCCCCTGATGGAACCTATTGCAAATCAATGGGATCCCATTGAAAACTTTCAGGCAAGACCAGATGACTTGATCATCTCAACTTATCCTAAAGCAGGTGAGATGTTATGGGGCAATATAGTAGAGGGAAGGTGGCAAGAACAAACGTCAGGATAATAAAGAGAAGAGTTGAGCACTGATGGCACAAAAATGTAACAAGCCAGTCACTCTATTCAGATGTGACAAACAGCTCTTAAAACTGGGACATATGGCATGTGCTGAAAAACTGAGAGTAATGCATTTTTTCTTGCACCTTTTGAATCTGTTTTGGATGAAGGATTGTCTGCCGACGGTAGATTTTTCATGAGTACTTCCAGGGTTAAGTAGATTTCCCACAGAGAGTCTTGTTTTGATAATGCTGGAATGCACGCTAGGATAAACTAGATCCAACTATCCTGGCACTCAAGTTTCATAAATCAGTGTTTATATGGATTAAACGTCATATGATACTTCTCAAAGATGTAAAACTAGTCATTTTATAGAAATAGAACACAGGTTTGATTTTTTTTTTTAAAAAAAGTCTGCTCTCAAGGTTTTGCTTTTCAACATATTAACTGTCTTAGAAGTGAAAAGGTTGAAGGTTGTCAATAGGAAACTATCTGTAAGTGGCTTGCTTGTTAATTTGTGCACTACTATTTCAAAATGCATGAAACAAGAATGGGAAAATAAGGAATTGAGATAATCATGAGACATTTTTCTGTCCTGTATTCTCTAAGCTTCTCTAGATGACCTCAGATGCAATGAATGCTTCCATTCAGGAAACCCCATTCTTCAGTCTTCTTTTTCCATTTCTACTCTCCAACAAAATATATCCTGTTTGCAAGAGCATGCTAAGTCCTCACTGGGCTGTTTAGTTCCCTCCCCCTCCCACAACATTTACTCTATGATCTTTTTCCAAAAACTATTTTTATTTTCACAAATCTTGGGTTCCCCCCCTCAATTCCGCTGATACTTTTTTGTCATGTGCAGGTAGTGCTGTTTTAATTCATATGAAATTGAATATTTATTTGTGTTGCTACATGCAATAGTGCATTTGTTGAATGATTAATATTAATATTGCACTATTTATACAATTTAGTACATTGGCAGTATATAAGAGGGTGGGCCCACTGTCATGAACTGTAGTGGTGGTGGTGGTGGTGGGAGGTTTTACTGTCACCAAGCGATTGTCCAAATTCTTTGTGTCTTCTGGGCTTTCAGGTACCACATGGATGCAAGAAATTGTGGATCTAGTATTGAACAAAGGTGATTTGGAAAAGGCACACAGGGCCCCCATATACGTGCGGATCCCGTTTTTAGAAATCTGCTCTCCACCTCCTATGCCTTCTGGTAAGGCCAGGAAGCATTGCTACTTTGATATCCAGCCCTAGATCTTGAATATATATGCTGTTGGACCAATGTTGTCTTCTACTCTACTTCTTCTTCCTCAGGAGTTGATAAATTGGTGAATGCTCCGTCTCCTCGTGTGATCAAGACCCATCTCCCCTACCAGCTTGTTCCTAAAAGCTTTTGGGAAAATAACTGCAAAGTAAGTTCATTTAAGGCTCCTTCGTATCTTTGTCCCATCCTCAGCCCTAATCTATTGTCACATGCATACAATTCTCTTTTCTATCCCATTACAGATGATCTACGTTGCTCGCAATGCCAAGGATAATCTGGTATCCTATTACTTCTTTGACCAGATGAATTTAACTCAGCCAGATCCAGGGACCTGGGAAGAGTATCTTACAAAATTCATGGAAGGCAAAGGTGTGTTGAAACCAGTGGCCAGCCTGTAGCCAATGTGTTCATCAGATTTCAGAGACAATAGCTGAAACCATAGCAAAATGCCAAAAACAATTTTTAGAGTAAATATTAAAAAGTAACAGAGATACACCACATCCATTCAGCTGGCCAGGAATGATTCGCCAAAACGCATTCCTGAGCTGGCATTGTGCATCTTTCTAGGTCTTTAAAGTTGCACCACAATTCAAAATATCTGGGGACTGGGATTTGCCTCCTTTTTATATTTTTCTTAAGGGACAGTGAGCGCACACAATAATACCTTAAATAAGGCATCCTCTCCAGCAGACAATATTTGAGGATGGTCTGATGATTGATTTGGTCAATATATTGGGGAGTCCAACAGCTAAATCTTTGCTGAGAATATTTTAGGGAAGGTACTTCTACTATCTATCCACTTAGCTCTCTTCCTTAGTAGGTGTAAGATTAGAGAACTTGGTTTCTCCCATTTATCTTAATTAATTAAGCAATACTGTATAGATTTAAAAGCAAAGGTGATTTAAATGATGCAATTTCCAAAGCTTGCTCAGCAATTCTGAAATGTAGCCGTGAGGAATTTGCAATATCAACTTGGCTAAGCTACAAGAATTTGCAATAGCTTATTGGAAAATCAATCTTATGTTTGCTGAAGACCAAAAGCAGATCACACCATTAGCTCCTTGCCAGTCTTATGAGATGCCACCACCAAAATTTTGTTTTGGGACACAGGTTCTTCATGGGCAGTTTATTCTTACTTAGGCCCTAGAGATAAATAAAGATAATACCAGAATTCTGATTTTGGAGGCAGAGAATTGTAATGTTAGGCCAGTGAACTTTGCTTTGTATAGAACTCTTCTTGAATATCTACTTGGAAAATAAGAAATGCTTTTCTTTTCATTGTTGTAAATCAGAGGTCCAGGCTTTTGCTCTGTTTCATGATGTCTCCAAGATGTCTCTCTCGACTTCATAGAGAACTTTATTTTTATACAGTTTTACATAAGCAGACAAAAGGTAGCACAGTAATAGTATTCTGATTGGATAGAAGTTATTCACCCCCCTCTCAAGTTGCCATCTTCTCTAGGTGAGCTTATATTAAATCATCCAAGCCAATTATGAAATAATGCAGTAAGCAGGAAAGACCCACAGAGCACAAGCCGGCAGTGTGCTGCTACAGCCTGGCACTGTGACCCTTAACCCACTGACCTACATTCCACTCTGTTTTGTTTTATTTGTGAAGCCATCCTCTTACGAGGGGCCAGAAAAGGGGTTATTATCAGGAGAGGAATATCCCTGCAGTTGTTTATACAAGGCATAAACCTGACCCTAAGGCAACGTGAGAGGTGGTTTTGGGCGAAATGCAGAAATACATACGTTACAAAAAAAGGGAAGACATTGAACAAAACAACACCCACCAATTAAAATAGTACAAATGATGACTGAATAACGTAGGATGCTTCCCAATAAGCCTGTTGGTAACGAAGACCAAAGGCTTTCCCACCAAGATCCTAAAGTATCAATTTTTACATCAGAGGCCAAATTATGTAAAATGTTAAGTTGATGCTGAATGTTCCGTGACTCATCTGAAATGTTAAAGCAACAAAGTCCTTCAAAACTTTCACAACCCAAATGCTGGCGTAGAAGCAAATAATCAACAGCAGCACGATTTTGAAGAATAGCTTTTCTAAAAGCTTGCAGCTCATGATTGATTGCTGAAATCGCTGAAGAAGTGGCATTAATGGTTTTTGCTAGATTGCACGCAATAGCATTAAGATTCCGATGAGCACGTGAAGCAAGTGCTGGTATACCCACTATAGATATAGACAATGATCTGTATTCTGCTTTACTAAGTAATTCTACTTCAGAGTTACAAGTGTCATCTAGGGTGACCTCACGCCGAATACAGCTCAAGTGAAGTTGTTGTTTAGAAAGCAAAACAGGAACCAACCAGCTAAGACAACACTGCATTTCACTAATATTAGCAGGAATATAATTAAAGGTTTCTTGACCACATGTAAAAAACCACCCTTGTGGTAACCAAACATGAGCAAAATTAAAGGAAGCCTCTTCAAAAGCTGTACAGTTTAAAACAGGTGAACTAATGCAAAGACAGTGAGGATTTTTGCTTGAAGAAGTACAATTAACCATTTTTACACATGTTACATTTTCAGGGACCGCCACCACTGGAGTATGCAAATCAATTGCGTTAGGAGGTGGATAATATGCAGCTACCCCCCAACTAGCTATAGTCTTATAGTTATAATGCTCTTCTATCAAATATCTACCCAAGCCAGTAAGGTTCTGAATTACAGTAGTAGGAGTACAAACAGGGATTAAACATGTAGAAAGCAAATTTTCCATATCATAAGCTTCAGACAAACAAAAGGCATCAGTTTGTGTGATGTTTGCAAGCTGCACCCATAGGTTTTGTTTCATCCGTTGTTCGAGAGAATGTTTAGGTGGGGTGACAGCTGCTGATGCCAAAGTACAGTTATTAACAATCAAGCACAAACAAATTATGACTAAGGAATTGGCAGTTAAAACCGCAAAAATGGCAGCGCACAAATTCTTGGGTGTTTGTTCCACTTGTTGCTGCTGCAGCACTGCCTGCGCTTTGGTGGTCAAATTCTTCACATCTCCCCATATCACTGGATGACTGGCACAACGGGATCGGGTTGGTTGCCACGCTGTCTTAGAGTCATCTTTGCCATCTCTGGGATAGGGTTCAGGGGTTGGTGCCACGACATCCTTGGCCGGATGAACACAATGTGCTGGTACCCACAAAGGTCCTGTAGATGTAAGCACAGCAGCATAGCCACGCCCCCAAGTAATCAAAGGGACCGGTCCTAACCATTTTTTGTCTGGTAATGCTCTATAATATACCAGAGGAGGAGGCAAACTTGTTTTTTGTTGAAAATGCCTCTGATAAGCGGTCAAATTAGAAATTGAAAAATTCAATTGATTCAAAGTAAATAAAACTTTTGTAACCTGTTGTGTTACCCATGACAAATTTGGGGCCCGAGACCCCTCCTTTTTTATTTGTTTGTGAAGGCAGTCCTTAAAAGACCTATTAGCACGTTCCACAATAGCCTGACCTGTGGAATTATAGGGAAGACCATGAGTAACAACAATATTCCAGGTTGTACAAAATTGCAAAAAAGCATGTGAAGAATAGGCAGGCCCATTGTCTGTTTTTAAAGAAGAGGGCTTTCCCAGAGCTGTAATGGCTGAAAAAAGATGGGAAATAACATGATTAGCTGTTTCTCCTCGTTGAGGGGTAGCCCAAATTGCTCCAGAATAGGTATCAATAGATAAATGAATATATTTCCAAGGAGCCAAAGAAGGAACATGGGTAACATCCATTTGCCATAATTGATTAGAGGTGAGACCACGGGGATTAACTCCCCTGTCTCCTGAAGGGGATGCCCCAGAGCATTGAGGACAGGATGAAACTATTTGCTTAGCTTACTCTAGTGGAATATGGCAAGCTTGTGCCAGCCCTCTGGCATTTTGATGGAAAAAAGAATGGCTAAAAAATGGATCTGTAAATAAAGTAGGTAAAACATGAACAGCAGCATCAGCATGACTGTTGCCGTCAGAAAGAGGCCCAGGAAGGGATGAATGACTGCGTATGTGAGAGACAAAATACAAATGCTTCCGGTCTTGTAGTAATTGCTGTAAAGTGAGAAATAAAGCCATAAGGTTGGAGTCAATCCTGGGCGTGATATAAGCACCTGGAAGATTAAAAATAAGTTGACAGACATACTGAGAGTCAGAGATCAGATTGAAAGGTTGTTGAGAAAAAGTGTGGAAAGCTAAGATAGCTGCAGACAATCTGAGCGCTGAGGTGAAGACTGTCCTGCAGTGTAGGAAACTTTCCAGATGTCGTCACGAGGATCCTTATAAGCAATAGCTCCTCTTGTTCGTCCTCCATCAGAAAAAACTGTAAGACCTTGCGGTAGTGGAGAAGAAGAAAGTAATGAGCGAATAGGAAAGGAGGAAGTCATTAAACAAGCAAACCTAGGATCTTTAGGCAGATAGTATGAAATACAGCCTACATAGTCAGTTAGAGCACACTGAAGAGATAAATTATTCTGAAAATAAAAGTGAAGGTCAGATTTTGAGATAGGAAGAACAATATTTATTAAATCAGTTCCATTTCTTCGACAGGCTCGAGTACGCCCCAAGGTGATAATTTCAGCAATAGCTTGGATAAAGGGTAAAACATTTTGAATTGGTGTATTTGGCAAATAAAGCCATTCAATACAGTATACTTTTTGCTGTTCTAAAACAGCCAATACTCCTGTGGGCAGTTTACTAGTAGGAAATATTAACAAAGATAACTGACAATCTCTATGAGGGATTCGATCCACAAACTGAGTACTTAAGATGTTATTAATTTTCTCAACTGTAGCAAATACTACAGATGGAACTATAATTAAATCTCCTGGCTTTTTTCCTTTAGTCAATAACTCAAACAATGGACTAAATAAATGCGTAGGTAAAGAAAAATATGGGTGGACCCAATTAATAGTACCCAGCAATTGTTGCAAATTTACCAAGGAAATAACTTTGGGTAACTTTAAATGAGGAAAAGCCGGAGCAGAAAAAGACTGCAACAGTTTATGCCCTAAATACAGATAAGGAGCGTGCAGCTGTATTTTTTCTGGGGCAATTTGCAACCCATAGACACATAAATCATTTTGTATTTCAGAAAGCCAATTAGATTGTATTTTTGGTGCTCCAATTAAAATGTCATCCATATAATGATAAACCAAGGCCAATGGATGACGTTTGCGAAAAGGAGCAAATGCTTCAGCAACATAAAATTGACATAATGTGGGACTATTCAACATTCCCTGTGGTAAAACCGTCCAGTGATAGTGTTTATTGGGTTCTGAATGGTTCACCGCAGGTACTGTAAATGCAAACTTTTCCTGATCAGAGGGACACAAAGGAATGGAAAAGAAACAATCCTTTAATTCAATTACCATCACCTCATGATCTTGGGGAATCAAATTAGGATTTGGTGTCCCGCACTGCAAGGGGCCCATAGGTTGAATACATGCATTCATGGTTCGAAGATCATGTAACAAACGCCATTTGCCACTTTTCTTTTTTATCACAAACACAGGTGTATTCCATGGACTAGTGGATGGCACAACATGACCCGCAAGCAGCTGATCTTGTACTAATTGATGGAGAGCCATTAATTTTTTGTGTGGCATGGGCCATTGATCAATCCACACCGGCTCTTTAGCCATCCAAGTCAGTGTGAGGGCAGTAATTTCAGTCCTCCAAAGTGAGGGTGGCCCCCAATTTACTGAGCAGGTCGCGCCCCCAAAGGCTGACATGAATATCTAATATAAAAGGGCGGACCTGAATAACCAAATCTGAATTAGGCAAGTGAGCTGAAATAAATTCTGCACTTTGACGTGCACTTTGTTGACCCCCCACACCCCACACACTTGGACAGGGCTCAGCTGGCCAGGCAGCAGGCCACTGCTTGGCAGAGATCACTGAAACATCCACTCCAGTATCCAAAATCCCCTCAAAGGGCTTACCCTGCAACACAATGATCTGACGAGGCCGTTGGGATGTTATCGGGGTAGTGATGGCAGCTATGATAGAAGTGGCTGGGTCAGTAGAACCAAAGCCACCTGTCCCTCTCTCCTTTTGGGCAATGATGTTAACCCTCTGGACTGCTATCCTATCTACCATTGTGCAATTGGCAAACCATACACAGCAGTGGTGAAATGTAAAATTTGTTACTACTGGTTCTGTGGACGTGGCTTGGTGGTGGTGGTAATATGACTGAGTGGGCGTGGCCAATTTTTTTTTTTTTACTTTTAAAATAATTTTTTCTACAACCTCTTCAGTTGAAGAGGTTGTTAAAAAATGCTTTTAAAGCCTCTGACGATTCCAGCTGACTTGCCTGATCGGCAGAAGCTTTCTTTTTTTTTAAAAAAAGCCTCTGACAATCCCAACTAACTTGCCTGATCGGCAGAAGCTTTTTTTAAAAAAACCTCTGATAATCCCAGCTGATTTGCCTGATCGGCAGAGGCTTTTTTTTCCTTTTAAAACATTTTTTCTATAACCTCTTCGGCCGAAGAGGTTGTAGAAAAAATGCTTTTAAAAGCCTCTGATGATCCCAGCTGAGCCGCACGATCATGAGAGGCATTTTTTTTACTTTTAAAAGCATTTTTTCAGCCAAAGAGGTTGTAGAAAAAATGTTTTTAAAAATAAAAAAAAAGCCTCCGATGATTGCCCGGCTCAGCTGGGCAATTGTGGGGGGCAGGGATTTTTACTACCGTTTCTCCGAATCATCTGCCTCCATTGCTACCGGATTGGGCGATCCGGTCTGAACCGGGAGCATTTCACCCCTGATACACAGGTGCAGTAAGTTAAAATACACTCTCTGGTGCAGCAGTAGAAGGTCACCAGCAGTTTTTCATTCAGTTGTTGTTTACTGAGAAGTCTCAGGTAGTATAATCTCTGCTGGGCCCTATTGACCAGTGCTGCAATGTGAGTGCCCCAGGTCAGGTCCACTTTTATGATAACACCCAGAAACTTAAAACTGCCCACTTGCTTTACTTGATCTCCATTGATAAGCAAGGGCTGGATGTCTGATCTACTCCTTCTATAGTCCACTATAAACTCCTTGGTCTTATTGGGGTTAAGGAACAAGTTATTGTCTCCACACCACGAAAGCAACCAGTCCACCTCATCTCGATAGGCAGACTCATCCCCCACCCCCGGAGATGAGTCCCACCATTGTTGTATCATCTGCAAATTTAGTAAATAGTATTACTAGCTGTGAGTGGGAATGCAGTCATGTACATAAAGAGTATAGAGTAAGGAACTCAACACACAACCCTGTGGTGTACCAGTAATAAGAATAAGGGCTGAAGAGATATGATTACCTAATCTGACCCTCTGAGAGTAGCCAGACAGGAAATCCGTAATCCAATTATGGAGGCAGACAATCTTAAAAAGGTTTCTTATAATTAATTCCAAAATCCTATTTCAAATTCATCTGAACCCTCAATCCATTTGTAACTTTATAAAACTAAAGTTCCAATCAACCTTTTGCTGTTTATCCCCCCCTCCAAATTATTGAAGTCCTTAAACTTGCATTTAAAACTTCTTTTACTAACAATTGAAGGAAATTCATCCAGAACTATAAAATACTGATCCAAAAGTTCCTAATAGCTGAAAAGCAGTCAACAAGCAATTTTGAAAGTAACCAGAAAAGGAAGTACACAAAGCTGGTGTTTTTTAAAAAGGCACTGATAATAGTTTGAGAAAGATGGCTATTCTCTCATCTCCCAGAGTTCTAAAACCACCAGAGATCGTTATCTTGTGGTTTTCTCACGAGGAACAGCTGTATAAAGTACTTGTGAGTGATCTCAATTCCATTCCTTAGCCAGAGGTGAATTACAAAGAGTTCATTTACTCGCTAATTCTTCATTCAGCCATGATCATTTGCTCTGTATTCTGTTTATTTTTCTTTCTGTGGGCAATCCACTTTCAATACGTTGACATAAAAAATGCAAGAGATTTCCAGGCAGTCATGTGACGTCAAAACTGACTCAAAGGCTGCCAAAAAAAAAAAAAAAACAAACCCCTATCCTTCAGAAGTTTCTTAATTGTCATCCACACCCTTTTTTTTCATAAACTGATTTTCTCTCATCTGTTTCCTGCTATGTTATCCATCCTTTAAATCACTGGGTTTAATTTTATTTGCTAAAAAAATTGGCAGTGCCAACTGCTATTAAGGGATTTGATGTCTCTACAAACCTTTCAGGAGTCACTTTTGTGTGACTTTCAGATTACATTGTGTACCAAATTTTAATAGTTCAAAATAAGGAAACTCCATCCTAAAATAGCTTGCTTTTTTTTTACTGCAGTACCAGTATCCAATATTTTTTAATTGGAAACCACCTTATATAACCAGGAGGCCATTGCTTTTTCTAGTTGACTCTTGTTCCAGTTATTGACCTTTGTTCCAATTATGTTTGAAGTTCCAGAGAGAGAAGAATGTATCTCAGTCCATTCTGGAGATATGAAGTCTGTAACCCTAAACTCAACCAGTTTAACCTGCTTATAATCTTTTTTTTATTTCTGCAAAAACATTGATCCATAGATCAGTCAAATGGTCTGTGCTATTTAAGTCACTAAAAACAGCCAAGGTTGAAAATAACCAAGCTTAGCATGGTGTATAAATACAATTTCTAGGCTTGTGTGAAAACAATCTTGGGTGCAGAGATGGTACGCTCACAATAGTCTTTTCTCATCTATAATTATTTAAAGTAAGACTTTTATTCTGTTTTGTATCTGATTTCTCTTTCCACTTCTCTTAAAATCTGGTTTCTGTTAGGGAATAGTTCAAATGTTGGTTGAAGGAGAAAATGTTTGCAAAAGTTATAGTTTTAGGCAGAAGGATTTCAGTTGGGGTTGTAGGAGCAGATTGATCTATTATACACACAGAAAAACTTTCAGTTGCAAAAGAAGCGTGTTTGTTTTTCATTTTTTAAATGTAAGTAACTTTTAGAAATTACTATTCTCATCATCTGTTTGATGCTTCCTCTCTGATGATGCTATTTAGTTAAAATATGTGCAGATAAGCTTGATAAAAAAATATATAAATTGTTTACAAAAGTGTATAATCATCTATGTGGATTTAATTAAGTAATAGAATGATAAATGAATTAAGACTTCAGTATTATACGTACAGCAAAGAGAGGGTTTTTTTTTTGTGAGGGCCTACATTACCATTTGGATAATCTTTCAGGGGTTAATGTCCGCTGAAAATGGGAAAAGTAAGAGCCATATAGACGCCTCTCTTTCATATTCATTTATGCCCAATTTACACTCTCTGCCACTTGTAATCGCTCACCCATTGTAGGTAGTCCTCAATTTACAACCATTCGTTTAGTGATCGTTCAAAGTTGCAGCACTGAAAAAAGAGACGTTACTAGTTTCCACACTTTCAACAGCATCCCCATGGCCACGTAATCAAAATTTGGGTGCTTGGAAACTGGCATGTTTTTATGGGATAGCGACAGCAATGGCAATAGCATTAGCCTTAGACTTACATACTGCCTCATAGCACTTTATAGCACCCTCTATAATAATTTTAGCTGGCTTGCAACAAGCAAAGTCAGCAGGAAAAGCAAGATTTGCTTAATGACTACCTGATTCACTTAACAACTGCAGTGATTTCGTTTAACAACTGTGGCAAAAAAAGGTCATAAAATTCCCTTAACAAATGCCTTCTTAGCAACGAAAACTTAGGGCTCAATTATGGTCAAAGACTACTTGTATTTCCTTACTTCCACACTTCCGTTCAATCATGCTCCTTTCTGAAGTATCTTTCTATTGTTTTATATAAGTCCGTCATCCTTTTGTTCTTTTTCATGCCTTCCATTCCTCCCATAGAAATACATTCTATAAATATACCCCAACACATATTGTAAAGTGTTCTCCTTTCATTTTTACTTTCTGTCTACCCCATCCAACTCAAAACCTAATTCCCATTGTTTTCCCAATTACTTCTCTCCTCCCTTTTGCCACATTTGCTTTGAAAACCTTATTGGGATATAAATGCCATTAATTCTTATGAGATTGACAGGTAAGTGACCATGTATTATTGCATTGCTATTGATCAATTGATTTCATTAAATGAATGATGCTCCTTGTTCTTTTTCCACCTTACTTTGTGACTTAGTTGCCTGGGGATCTTGGTATGATCATGTACGGCGTTATTGGGATGAGAAAGATAATCATCGTATTCTCTACGTCTTCTATGAAGACATGAAAAAAGTAAGTTCCAAGTAGTGGAGAAACTGAATCTACATAAAAGAGGAAGTTCCAAGTGGTGGAGAAATCACCATTGTAAATGTTGTGCAATCTTAGGGATTAAGCAAAGATCTGAATCACATTTTCTTAATAGTATCAGTAGATTATTGCTTTCATGTCCTGGTTAAGGGGTTTCAGAGGTATAGCATTTCATTGACTGCTGTGGAAAACAGAATATTATGCTAATCGGTAGCAAAATCAGGGATTTTGCCAGCCCTCAAACAATGCCTACAGCATCCCACAATGTTTATACACACTCACAGCCACACCAATGAAATCTCATGAAGCATCTCAACCTCATAGCTTGGGTGAGAATGAAAATTTTCCCATAAGAATGTTGAAATCTTATGAGACCATAACGTTTTCACAGTAAACATTATGAAATGTTACGTTCTTTTTATAAATAGTATTTTTTTTTAAAAAAAAGATTGTAATTACAACAGTAAAACTTTAACAGTAAAAACTGTTGTGGTTGGGAAAAATGAAAAAGGAAATGTAGAAGGTGCAGAAAAGGATGAAAAATAGAAAAGAAAGAAAAATAAGAATATAGTAAAGAAAAAGAAAATAAATATATAAAGAAATTACTTCCCACCGTTATCACAAGTATAAAAAAAGTATAAAGAAGTATAAAGAAATTTAATAGCTTATCTTCTCTTGAAGTAAAACAATTTCTTCCTATATCCCATCTCTTATCTTATTAACAAATCCATAAAGCATCATCATTTCAATCCTGATGTCAGCAAAAGTCCATTAAAAGATAACAACATGTTGAGAGCCAGTTTAGTCTCATGGTTAAAGCCCCAGGCTAAAAACCAGGAGACTCTGAGTTATAGTCCTGCCTAGCCATGAAAGCTGACTGGGTGACTTTGGACAAGTCACTCTCTCTCAGGTGTCAGGCTAAAGTGACAAACTGTCTGGTCAATTCCTGTTGCAACCAAATGGATCAACCTTCTGTTGAATGGGAGGGAAAAAGACAAACAGACCTTGCATTTATGGGAAAATGCCAGCAATAAAAAATAAGGAAGTAAGCAAGGAAGTAAAGTAAATAAATAAATAAATATCTATTTTAACTTTGATCACATCAATCTTAATATTCCTTCCTTTTACTTCTAACAATCTTAATCTTTAGTCCCCCCCCGCAAATAATTTTGTAGAATTTGATTTCTTTTCAATTTTTATTTGTCCCTTCTCACAAGTTTCTTCAAAACTTTAACAAGCCTCCTCTGTAATTGCAAACTAGCAAAACTATCCAGGTCATTCTCTTGGCTTGTTGTTTGTAGATCATATTAATTATTTATTAAGCCATCAACTGGTGAAAGTCCAGTTGCATCTTAAAAAAAAGCACCTTTGGGACAACCAGGACCTGGATGACAAGGCAAAAATAATTAAGATACAAAAAATTTTTTAAAAAAACAATTTTACGTAAAACTTTTGCTAAGGACTGAAAGAAACTCATCCAGTGCTATCAAATATCAATCCTGAGGTTCCTAATAGCCGAAAAGCAATTAAAAGTTAGCAGTATTCCAGTATTTGAGAGGTTGCCACAAAGAGGAGGGACTCAACTTATTTACCAAAGTACTTGAAGGCAAGACAAGAAACAATGGATGGAAACAAATGAAGGAGAAAAGCAACCTAGAATTAAGGAGAAACTTCCTAAAAGTGAGAAAAATTAACCAGTGGAACAGCTTGCCTTCAGAAGTTGTAGGTGCTTCATCACTGGAGGTTTTTAAGAAGAGTGTGGACAGTCATTTGTCTGAAATGGTTTAGGCTTTAGAGTCTCCTGCTTGAGCAGGGGATTAGGCTAGAAGATCTCCAAGGTCCCTTCCAGCACTATTCTAATTGATCCCAAAAGCGTGATTAGAAAAGGAAATATGTGAACCCAGTGCCCTTTCAAAAGTGCTGACTAAGGGAACATGGCTTTTCTCTTGTCTCCCAGAGCTCTAACCTGACACATCTCAAACATACCTTTGAAATCTAGGAACTATAATTTTTTTCTCCAGCAGAAAAAATTTATAGAACTTTTTAAGGGAAGTCTGCTACACTCCAAATGTGTGGCCCATGCATACTCTTTTGGATGCCAGCAGCCATGAGAATGAGACTCAGTTCCAACAATTATTTCTTTACAATACTAGTTAAATGGAGAGCTTACTCATTATTGAACGCTCTTTACCATTTCAATCCATACCCTTCTCCCATCTGTGACTTGTCAACCAGGCTAATTTTGGATTTATTTTTTAATTAGGATAGATCTATATTCAGAAATATAGATGTGGAGTACTTCTGCACTTGCGAGCTGTTAGTCAACTTCAGAAGGTTGAGCACCATCCCAAGTACTCCACCTATAAATATCCTACTCTGCTTCTTCAACTCCCCCTACTCCCACCCTCATCCCAAATTAAGTGAGTGAATGGTGGCCACTTTTATGCCAAATGACACTTGGGGGGAGAGAATTGAAGCCAAAGAAATTCACCAATATTGTCCTACATTAAAACTCTAAGAATAGCAGCAATTCTAGTCTTGTTATAGCAATGCAATAGCAAACATTGTGCCTGAATATTTTTCTGAGTTGACTCAAGGACTAATGAATTGCAATCTGTCTGGAGGTTTCAAGATTACTTTATAGCATTAAGTAACTAATTTCCTGCCTGGATCTCTTGGAAATAGAAGAATTCCAGAAAACCTACAGCTTTCACAGCAGTTGTAGACAATAATGTATAAATAGGGAAATATTATTTAGACATAAAGAATTACTAAAATGATCAAGTTACTATTTTTACCTTGTTATAGATAAGTTGAAATATTTCGGGGTGAATCATGGTACATTAAAGTTACTGGAAATGTTTTTGAAATCTGTTTTTTCTGATTGGAAGATAATATGCTAAGTGGCTTTGCATAACTGAATTTAACTTTGTTTTAGTAACAGGAGAAAAGGGGTGGGAGGAACTCAGGAATGTCTTTGCTTTAGAGGAGTGTAAACATAGGTACATCTAAAAAACATTATATTGCTTGGTTCATACGTTGCACAAAGCCGAGCTTTGTAAAACCATGATTTATTGAATAAATCACAGTTCTGAGGATTCAGTCAAGTGAGCAGTGTGGTGGCCTAGAGGTATAGATGCTTGCCTCCCATTCAGAAGGTTGAAAGTTCAATCCTAGGCTCTCTTAGGATGCAAAGAGAAAATATCTGCTGCGAACTCCAGGTACATACTAAACCATAATTAAGACAATCATAGATTGCTTTCGACTTACAACTGTAATGTAGCCTGCCCATCACGGTTGTAAATCATGATGGTTATAAAATAGGTTGGTCACAGGACCAATCTGATTTTACAATTTTTTTTGAGGCTGTCATTAAATGAATGCTACAATTATTTAAGCAAACCAATGGATTGCTATGGATATGGTTTTGCTGAAAATTGAAAGTAAATGCAAAACCCTCAGAAAAAATAGTCATGTGACCACAGGATGCTATCAGTGGACATAAATATTGTTTGGTTGCTGAGTGCTCAAAATTCAGACACATGATTTTTTTTGTCCCTTATGTTTTTATTAGTCCATTCCTCCTCTTTCCCAGTGCATCTTTTCAAAGTGCACATTTATCATAAGAAAATGCCCATTTTGCATTGAAGTTGTTCTCACACATCTGAAGTCAAGTGTTGCTTCCTCCAAGTTAGTGCCCAGGACAATTGTGAGATGCTAGAAGAATAATATAGGTAAAATAGATTCAAAGATCATCTGATTTGACTTTTGGAAGTAAAACTATCTCTCCATCTCCATTTTTTGCATGCTCTCAACAATCTGTTCAGCATCTAAGAGCATGTAATGAATTAACTTTACATTGCTCACATTGTGGCCTTTTCCCCATCCATGCCTATCTTCTGCCAGGATTTAGCCCATGAAATCCACCGTGTAAAAGATTTCCTGCAGGTCGACTTGTCTGAAGACATTGTTCAGAAGATAGTGCATAAGGCAACATTTGAAATCATGAAGGAGAATCCCATGGCAAATTATGAAACCGTACCCAGTTCCCTCTTTGACAAGTCAAAAAGCTCCTTCATGAGGAAAGGTAAGATCAAGAACTCAAAATGATGTTCTTTTATTTGTAGAGTGACTTTCCTTAAAATAGGAAGAAAAACAGGCAATTTAAACTAGTTCTAAATTAGGAACATTTATATCTGGAATAAGCAATGTTTTGGTGGCTGTTGATACTGAAGATTTTTGTGAAGGTTAATCCACTATAGAATGGATGAAAATCCAGTCAGATATGGAGATGTGACTGCAATTTCTTGTTTTACCCTGAATTTGAGGGAAGGAAATAGAGTGAGAAGGGCTACATTCATTCAGTATTACTATATTTTACTGCCTTAATATAACATGAAACAGTATCAGTGATTTAGGAACTGGGATTTAGGTATGTGCTGGAGGCTTCAGGAAACAGATTTGGCATCTAGCCTTTGGTGAGTGAGTGTGTGTGTGTGTGTGTGAAGCTGCCATCCCATTCTTGTCGAAGGCACTGCTTAAGACACTTCTGGGTCAAAAGGATTAGCTGGTGACATCACCATTGCCTGGGGAATGCCCATAGCAGCTCCTTTCATATTCCCATCAAGGAGCGGAAGCAAAAGACGGGAGCTCACCCTGCCACACAGCAGCACTTGTATCTCAAGTGGGCTGCCATCTTGTTAAACTTTTCTTGGGAGTAAGTTGCACTTGTGAATGAATATGCAGAGTAAATCTAATGCTGACCCAGAAGAACAAGTGAAATTAACTATGACACAAATGTTACACACAAAACCAAAGCATATATGGAAAACCATTCAGGCATCATGGCAATGGAGATTCTCAGTCATCCATGCCATAGTTATCCCAAAGGTGCTTTTTCGAAAGGCAACTGGAAAAGCCAGTTGCCTTTTGAAAAAGCACCTTTGGGACATTCAGAAATCGTATGATGTATATGAGAGATGTTCCACAATTTGTTTTGCTTTTTTGCTTTTTGTTTTTTTAAATTTTGTGAAGAAGCAGAAGCAGGGTAACTTCATCACTGGGGCCCTACTACAAAGGAAAAAGGGAAATGTAGAAGATGCAGAAAAGGTCTTCTGGAAAACAAACCTACCAATGGATCAATCCTGATTTTTCTTCTGCCTTCTTCAGAGAAAGCTGGAGAGAAAAGACACCTATCTTTTATAAAAGAATGGGTGGTAATCTCAGATTTTAGGAGAGAATATGGTGGAATGGAATTTGCAGATGTAACCTAAGGCTTTTCTTAATCCTGAAATTCCCCCTAATTTTCTTTTTTATTGTTGTTGCATTTCCTCAGGTACAGTTGGTGATTGGAAGAATTATTTCACAGTGGCTCAAAGGGAGGTATTTGACGCACATTACCAGCAGAAGATGAAAGGGACAAGTTTACATTTCCAGGAAGAATGACAGACTCAGGAAATGATCTTCTCTGGGACTTGATCAAAGAGTAAAATACAGTCCCTTGCAGTACACTATTGTTGCAATAAATGAGTTTGCTATTAAAAATGAGGATGCAGTGCACATATCCATATGGGGGAAAATAGGTTCTGCAGTGGTTGAGTGATTGAGAGAAAGGACCAAATTCTCTAGAAGAGAGAGTATAAAAGCTAAAAATAAAGATGTTGAGACTCTAGAGAGAGTGCAGAGAAGAGCAACAAAGATATTAGGGGACTGGTGGTTAAAATATATAAAGAATGGTTTCTGGAATTGGGTAGCTCTAGTTTAATGAAAAGAAGGACTAGGGCAATGATGGCTAACCTTTTCTGGGCCAAGTGCCCAAAGCGCACAAACCCTTAAAATGCAATGCATGAACGGGGCCCGCGCATGGGCCCTTCCCCCGCACATTCACATATGCCCCTCCGCATGCGCCCTGCACATGCACAAGCAGCCCCTGCATGGGCCCCACTTCCCATGCATGCATACATGGGAGAGACCTGAAGACCAGCTGGCTGGCAGGAGGCGCATGCGCATGCACGGCAGAACTGAAGTGGGGCGACAGCTCATGTGCCCACAGAGAGGGTGCTGCGTGCCACCTCTGGCACATGTGCCATAGGTCCGCCATCACAGGACTAGGGGGTGACATGATATCAGTGTTCCAATATCTCAGGGGCTGCCACAAAGAAGAGGGAGTCAAGCTATTCTCCAAACTCCTGAGAGCAGGACAAGAAACAATGAGTGGAAACAAATCAAGGACAGAAGGAATCTAGAACTATGGAGAAATTTCCTGGCAATTAGAACAATTAATCAGTGGAACAACTTTCCTCCAGAAGTTGTGGATGCTCCACCACTGAAAGTTTTAAAGAAGAGATTAGACAACTATTTGTCTGAAATGGTATAGGGCCGTGATGGCAAACCCATGGCATACATGCCACAGGTGGCACGCGGAGCCATATATGTGGGCACGCGAGCGTTATCCTAGCTCAGCTCCAGTGCGCAAGTGCATGCCGGCCAGCTGATTTTCTAGCCTTCTGCGCTGACCAGAAGTCGGGAAACTAACCTGGCCTCCGGAGGACCTCCAGTGGGGTGGGGAAGGCTGTTTTTGCCCTCCCCAGGTTCCAAGAAAGCCTCTGGAGCCTGGGGAGGGCAAAAAATGGGCCTACTGGGCCCACTGTGCCATTGCGTGCCAAAAGCGGGAGGAGGGGGGGTCATGTGTGCGTGCGCGGGGGTGGGTGGGGCGCATTGCATTATGGGTGTGGGCACATGCACGCACGACCCCCCTGCACTCCCCCTCACTTTTGACATGCGACAGCAAAAAGGTTAGCCATCACTGGTATAGGGTGTCCTGCCTAAGCAGGAGGTTGGACTAGAAGACCTCCAAGGTCCCTTCCAACGCTGTTATTTGGTTATTCTGTTAAAGAGAATCATTCCTGCATTCAGTGAGGAATTGGGGAAGGGTCAAAATCTGCAAGACTGCAGGCACAAAATCAAGGGCTGCCCCTTTTGTAGATGCCACACACTGAAAGGGACAAGACTTCGATTGTGACACCATAATTGTGAGGATACTGCCCAGGGAGTCCTCGATTAACAACCATTCATTTAGCAATTGTTCAGAGTTATACTGCCCGTGACATATGACCACTGCAGCATCCCCATGGTCATGTGATCAAAATTCAGGCACTTGGCAGCTGGCATATATTTATAGTAGTTGCAGCAACCAGGCATCGTGTGATTGCTATTTCCAACCATCCCAGCCAACTTCCAACAAGCAGTCAATGGGGGAAGCTTAACAACTATATGATTCACTTAACAAACACATGATTCACTTAAAAACCAAGCCAAAAGGTGGTAAAAGTGGGCACAGCTCATTTAATAGCCAACTTGTTTAGCAATGGAAATTCTGGTCCCAATTCTGTCATAAGGCTAGGACTCAGAAAGCTCAAACTGCCCAAGGAGTTGCTGATCCAGTTCTACAGAGGAATTATTGAGTCTGTCATCTGCACCTCTATAACTGTCTGGTTCGGTTCTGCAACCCAACAAGACAGACACAGACTTCAGGGGATAATTAGAACTGCAGAAAAAACAATTACTACCAACCTGCCTTCCACTGAGGACCTGTATACTGCATGAGTCAAAAAGAGGGCTGTGAAAATATTTACAGACCCCTCGCATCCTGGATATAAACTTGTTTCAACTCCTACCTTCAAAACGATGCTATAGAGCACTGCACACCAGAACAACTAGACACAAGAACAGTTTCTTCCCAAATGCCGTCACTCTGCTAAACAAATAATTCTCTCAACACTGTCAAAGTAGTTACTAAGTCTGCACTACTATTAATCTTTCCATAGTTCCCACCACCCACCTTCTTCCACTTATGACTGTATGACTCTAACCTTGTTGCTGGTATCCTTAAGGTTTATATTGACTGTTTCCCTGCAACTATCATTATGATTCCTGACGAATGTATCTTTTCTTTTATGTACACTGATCGCTTATGCACCAAGACAAATTCGTTCTATGTCCAATCACACTTGGCCAATAAAGAATTCTATTCTATTCTATCTGTAAAAAAAAAAAAATCTTGCTCACTTTTTTGTAGATTTTGATAGTGCCATAAATCTCATACACACCACAATCTACACTCATTTACCCTAGTCTATATTGCATCCTTAGGCCAGGGGAAAGAAAAGACATGCAAATATTTATCCTTTATGCTAGCAATGTAAGTGCCTTAAGAAGCCTGGTGACATGGTAAGACTGTCCATTTCTTTTCAGCATTTTTTTTCTGATATTAGCTGCAAATTATTATTTATTAATTCAATTTATATGCCGACCCTCTCTGAAGACTCAGGGCGGCTCACAATGCATTTAAAATCATTATAAAAAACATTTAAAAATTAAAAACATTAATACATTAAAACTCATTCACACCAGTCATGGCTGGATCTCACCGGATCGCAAGAGCGAGATCAATAGCCCCAGGCCTGCCGGAAAAGCCAGGTCTTCACTGCTTTTTGGAAGGCCAATAGGGTGGGGATGGTCCAGACCTCAGGAGATAATGGTTCCAGAGAGCTGGGGCAGCCACAGAGAAGGCCCTCCCCTGCGGGCCCGCCAGCCGGCATTGTTTAGCTGACGGGACCCGGAGGAGACCAACTCTATGGGATCTATGGGTCGCTGGGAACTATGCGGTAGAAGGTGGTCTCAAAGATACCCTGGCCCTAAGCCATGTAGGGCTTTAAAGGTAATAACCAACACCTTGAATTGTGACCGGAGACCAATAGGGAGCCAGTGCAGCTCGTGGAGAATTGGTGTAATGTGGGTGTACCTACGACAGCTCGCGCAGCTACGTTCTGGACCAACTGTAGTCTCCGAACACTTTTCAAGAGTAGCCCCATGTAGAGCGCGTTGCAATAATCTAACCGTGAGGTGACAAGGGCATGAGTGACCTTGAGGAGAGCTTCCCGATCCAAGTAGGGTTGCAATTGGTGCACCAGGCGAACCTGGGCAAAGGTCCTCCTAGCCACAGCTGTCAGATGTTGCTCTAATCTTAGCTGTGAGTCTAGGAGGTCACCCAATATAAATATATCACCCAATATAATTAATTTCCAAATTGTGCACAACTTCACTTGCTGATATGATCAATCTGCTATGAAACGCACAAGAAGAGCAGAGCCTGCTTTTCTCCTGATTATTTAGCAAAGTGGTAAAAGAAGGGGTCCAGTAAAATCTCATTTAATGTGCTCCAGATGCAACAGTTACTTCTCCACTAAACATTGCACAGAAATGGCAATTGAAGAGAACTTGGCAACACTTCTTGGATATCTCAGATAATGCATTGGCTAAAGAGAGAGCATTTCCTTCTAATATAACTCTAAATTATTGGAGACATTCTGTCAGATCATCAAGAAATATTTTTTAAAAAGATGCTCATAAGAGAAATAGATTCTATTTTTTTCCCAGTGGACAAATCTAAATTCACTATCCTATAGGAACATTTCTAGGAACTTTTTTGTCTAAAATGTTGAATACAGAATAACAGAGTTGGAAGGGAGCTTGGAGGTCTTCTAGCCCAACCTCCTGCTCAGACAGGAGAACCTCGATCATTGCAGACAAATGGATGTCCAATGTCTTCTTAAAAACTTCCATGATGGAGCACCCACAATTTCTGGAAGCAAGCCATTTCACTCGTTAATTGTCCTCACTGACCAAATCTTTTTGCCAAAAAGTTTTTGCCTAACAGACAGGTTCTCCAAAGCACCTGAAGGCAGGACAAGAAGCAATGGATGAAAACTAATTAACAAGAGAACTATCCTAGAACTAAGGAAAAATTTCTTGACAGTTTGAACAATTAATCAGTGGAACTGCTTGCCTCCAGAAGTTGTGGGTGCTCCAACACTGGAGGTTTTTAAGAAGAGATTGGACACCATTTGTTTGAAATGGTATAGGATTTCCTGCTTGAGCAGGGGGTTGGACTAGAAGACCTCCAAGCTCCCTTCCAATTTTATTATTCTGTTATTTACATGAATATTGAATTGATATATCATGAAGAATGAGTTTGAAGCATTCTAATTGTGATGGAATGAAGTTACTCCAAAGACTCATAAACACCATTCTACTATGTTTTCCATGGTGAAATCAGGGCTATCACAAAAAATAGCTGTTTTCACTATTGACCTTTAGGTCTCAAGACTTCCCCTGAATATCATGAACTTGTTTTTATACTTTCCGAAATTTAGTATGCTCCTATTTATAGTTAGCCTAACTAATCCACCCAAAGTAAAGAGATGGGCGGCATACAAATTTAACAAATAAATAATACCATCTTTAAATTTTTTGTGGTAACTCGTCTGAAAAGTCTCTGGGTCCATAGTTTCTACTGAAGAGAGAAAAAAATTAGTTACAATCAACCTAGTTGCTTTCTTAAGCAAAGAGATCATCTCCTAGATCCATTGATAGTTTTAGTACCTATCAGTTGAAGGTATTTAAATATGTTGGTATTTCCTTGACAGTTTGGAAAAACACAAACAGCTATCACTGCCTGGAACCATAAATTCTCAAATATTATTCTG